GTCTGACGTGACATCGAATGAGAGGCGGACACGTCAATAACATACCCGCCCATTGAATTATCGCGAACCGTGCCTTTAAAAATTGGTCCTGAGCAGAGGACCCACAACACCAAATTTTTCGCAAGATCATGTTCAATTTCAATTCAGAAGGGCAGCTCAATCAGAAGGCTGCTTCTGCTGTTCTACAATGCTGTTCTATAATGGATGGGACCGATTCGAAATCCAATCGTATAAAGCCCTATATTGTGCGATATAAAATCACACAATCTCTTAAATGACGTCATGACACGGAAGGATTAAGTACCTAACCTGAATGTTTTCAGTGGAAATGATCCAGTGAGAACAACGTGCTCGTGAATGCTTCCATTGATTTATGGTCCTTTTATGGGTTTCATTTCGAATACTGTAAGCGATAACGGCGGAGGTGGTGTAGTGGCAAGTGGCGCACTTCACACACGCATGGTCATGGGTTCGAACTTGCTTAGGCGTACCAAGCCTTCCAGCCCTCCAGGGTCGGCGAATTGGTACCAGAGTCGTCTGGGAGAATAAAAGCATCGACTTGTACATCGGCCGGTCACCTCAAGCCATTGTATAGGCCACATAAGCATTCAATACGCCACTACGATCCTGAATGGAAGTCAATGTGTGGGCGCATCCCTTAGATTGGATTGATTAACACCCCAAGACTTTTATTCAGACCTATCGGGAACGACCGTAGCTTGTGAATTCGCACCTCCCTCTGCCATGCAATTTGCATGAAGATGAGGGGTTCGACATCGCATTGAGCTACTAATTTGCTGAAGAGTACAAAAAAGCAATACCGAAAATGATTGATTTTGTCTGCATACTGCATGGCTTCACCAAAATGACATCTTCCAGAAAAACGTTCCCTTACCTCTGCGCTTAGTTTCATGGGAATAGGAATACTTTCCTTTCCACATTCTGAAAGCTGATATGCCTGCATGCTTGTCGAAAAACTGCATACTTGACGTATGTACGGGCAATGTATAAGCATCCACCGATTCCTACTTGGATACCATGAACTGGCCATTGACTTGCTAAAGCAAGGCAGTTCTGCTCAAGTTTTGGTGAATTCTATTGTCCTCCTTGTTACTTCCCGCAACATACTACGAACGAGTACCTACCAGTCTTCAAGACCTCCGCAAAAAGCCTTCGCTCTCAAAAGAAAAGATGTGATGCCTAACTCAGACCGAGTGCGCGGGATCCATAACCAATTGAAAGCATTTTTCAACTAGATGTAAGATCACCTATACACAGAAAACAAGGCTCCGCGAAATCATTGCAGCAACTACTGAAGTTGGCTTGAAAGGAATGTACCCTGCCCGGTCAGTCTACGTACTTTAGCCCGCTTCTGGAAATGGCCTAGGAATGTCTGCAGTATTTTTCTTTCTCAACTCGACCATACGCAAGAATATAGCTTTTAGACGAAAGTCGTGAATCCACTAGGCTGACTGTACATGCTCCCAGAAGTTACCAGTATATGCAGGCGGATTGGGGATGCATTCCACGAATTCTGCTGATTAGGGGCCACCTATTCCTCCAGTCTGCTCGCAGTTTTACATTCCGGTAATAGGGTAAGCCCCATTCCATGCATGGATGTGTGGGGAGTCTGCGTATGCGCTTGGCATGCTGTACATCGGCTTAAACAAAACCTTGAATTTGAGTGAGTGGAAAGAGTAGGGGAACGATCCAAGGTCGCTTTCAATAGAGAAGCCTCTTGTTTGGATAGCTTAGCTAACTATGAGGAGTTCACCCAGCCTACACGTCAATGCCTAGCAAGCTACTCGTGGGTATCTATATGCTAATAGCAGT